TAAAGGTAGCTGTTAGTCAGCAACCTTCTAAGCAGACAGACTAAATACAACCATTGGCAAAACCAGTGGGCTAGCCAAATCAAAAAGGGCAGGGGAAAGAAGTCAGAGGGAAGGCATACCATCTAAGAAGGAATGGCAGTGGTGGGGATTTATTTTTATCTTTGCTGCTTGTTTCAAGCTGATAGTTATCTTTGCTTCCCAGGTACCAAGCAGGGTAGCAGTCTGCGGGAAGCATTTTCCCAAGTTGAAATTGCCTATTAATTTCATGTACTGTATAATTTAGTTTTTCAGATCCAATCTTCTCCCCAGCCTCAACAAAGTAAAATAAATAATTAACAAAGTATTTTTCAATGCTTTGCTAAGTTTGGAGATTTAAAGAAAAAAAAGAAAAAAAGAAAAATCCAACCCTCTGTTCTTTAGAGTTAATGACTCTACCACAAGAGTTTTATAGCACTATCCAAGTCTTTAAAGTTACTAATTAAATGCCGATTTAATCTTCACAAGGTCACTCTGCCTTTTTGGAAGGCATACATTTAGAACTTGTTTGGCTGGCTATTCCTTGTTCATTCTTGGAAAAGTGCATGTGACTCAGTGTTTCACAGGAGACACTGCATGGTACTTATAGAAAATATTTTCTATTTTTGGTTGGGAAAATAATTTCTAAAAATTATATATGCAATACTAACTTCTATTTTCTAAAGCTTCTGGGAATGCTAAGTCTGAAAGTAAGTAATTAAATTAGAAAGAATTTTGGAACAACATTCTCATAACAAATACTGAGTTAATTCTAGGGTCTAAAATCTCATATACTATGACAAAGTTAACATTATTTCTTACTGTCCTGGGCAATCGCTTCCTAGACTTGAGTCCCTAGGCTACAGGCAAGTGGACTCTGCAAGGCTGCCACACACCAGCAGCTATGGCCATTATTTACTGTTAAAAACTTTGCCATTTCAGATTTTATCATAATTATAAATATACCACAGATCTACCTGTGTGTGTGCGTGCATGTATGTGTGAGTGTGCACGTTCACAGCTCTTAATAGGCCTTCTGAAATTTTACATACTTATTGCCAAGATACAATATTTCGTATCTACTAAAACCTTTGTTTAAAAATGCTGGTTCATACCAATCAGAGATAAACACATAAGCCTAATAGTCTCCTGTTTCAATAGAAGTTCTCAGTGGAGGGTTCTGGATAAATCCTACATTATTAACTCTTTCCTAAGTATTAGTCTGTATGTGTTTATAAGTCTCTTGAGTTCCCTGAGAATGAGCCCATGTCTTACCCATCCCTGTACGTTTTCACAGTAAGTCAGAGCTGAAAGAATGTTTAGGCAATGAATAAGAAACAAGCAGAACAATAAATTAACCTATTAACACATTCATTAGAGTTTATTGTTTAGAATAATTATGTTAGTTGATAACTACATCAGTAACAACTGCCATCACATGAAAACATTGTGTTAACCTGCTTCCAGCATCTCTTCTTTCAAAGCAGATCAGTATGGCATGGACAACTTTTCTTTCCCTAGTCAGTCGTATGAAGACTAAGACTATAGTTATAGCTCTTCCTCTATCAACTGTGTATCTTTAAACAAAAGGCTTTCAACATGTGTGAAAATAGTTTAGTTTTTAAAAATTGACTAGAACACACATCTTTGGAAAATTTTTACCTGCCACATTTTCAATATCTGGTCAAAATACAGAGATGGCACTATCCTGATTTTTATAAAGCTTGCTTGACAATAAAAATGTCACTTTTGGAAACTGGGTGCATTATACCAACATGCCCCTCTGGATGTTGTAACTTAAACCTCAGTGCAATAGCCTACATGAATCTTATCAACAACCTTTTCTGTTCAAATATGCTGGTCTATAGATACTTATAATCCTGATAAAAATTTATTTACAAGTATCCTAGGTATGGATTAAGAAGTGTGAGGATAATTGGTTGACCCACACTCTTCAGAAGCAACAAGGCATTTCTGGATGATTTATTTATTCAGCTCCTGATATTCATGAATTTAGAAATCAAAATCAACTGCTCCCATAAATATTTACTTATTTTTCTGAATCCACATAATGCCCTTAATGACCACCCAGTTTCCTGAGCACCCTTTTCTACTCAGAGAAAGGGTTGGGATGAACTGTGAAAGATAAATTTTTTATGCTATAGAAGCTGCTGCCCAACTGTGATGATAAAAATCCAGATAATCAACGATTCTCAGAATTTGCATTCTTTAACAGCATATTGCAATACTTAAATGTTTCACTCTGCATTTATTTAGAAGAAAACTTCAACCTCAGAAAACATGTTCAGGCACAAAAGTAAATATGCTTAAAAGCTAAGCTTCCAAGACCCAAATTCTGGCCTTCTAAAGACATTACTAAGGGAAAAAAAAAATCCTATAATTAGTAAGAAGGAACAGCATAACCATGCAGTGCTTAGTATGAGACTCATCAGGGAAGCAAAATATTCTAACACTACATGTTTACTTTAAAATGATATTTTAACAATGTTTCAAGTATATCTACACTTGTATATGACACTATCATAATAGTTAAGGTACGTTTTCAATCATGTTTGATATAAAAAGACAAAATTTCTCATTAAGGAAAAGTATCTTTTGTGACAAATCTAAATTCAAGCCTTCCAATTTAAAGCTCCCAAACATTTTCCACATAGGAAAACTCTGTAAGCATACTTCTTCAGAGAGGCAATCAGGACAGGCAACGTTAAATTATCACGGCTCTTGAGAAAAACAGAGGAGCACTGTACAGAAGACCCTCACATTTGTGGCTCTGCGTATTCCCTGTGGGCTGTGCCAACCCACTCTCTCCCCTGTAATGACTCTTTGTTTTTACTAGGTCCCAAAGGGCTGGAGAGAGCTCCGTAAAGAGAAGGGGGGAGGGGTGGGTGGAATGCAGCTGCAGGCTCTATAACAATGCTGAGTCCATATATTTTGCTCCCAGTTAGAATAATAAAAAGGGTGGGGGATTGAAGAGATAGATCCAGAATAAGCAAGGTAGGGCCAAGCATCCTATAAGCCCTCAGTCTGCAGCATATCCACCCCCATACTACAGAATCCAGTCACCATTCATTTGGGTTAAAAAGCTTGTCTGTTAAAATTCAAAAACCCATTAAGATTTAAACCTATCAGTCATGTATATCTAAATTACTTTTATCGGTGAACTATATCTAGGCAAGGAACAAAGTAGGAAGAAAGTGAAGCAGGTGAAGATAAAACTGGGGGAACTTGGAAACATGGGAAAGGAAAGCTGCTGGGGAGGTCTCAGGTAGGAGAATTCGGAAAAGGCCCAAGGTTTCAAATATTGCTTTGCAATGGTGCCTAGGGCCTGCAGGCAGCAACTATGCCAGAGAAAATAGTACTCCTTTGGGGGCTGCTAAAAGCTGCAAGGGTCAGAATCAAGTTTGGAACCTGTGCATATTGGTTCCCTGTCATTTAATCTTTCAGCCTAACTAGGTGCCTCCTAAGAAAATATCCATTACTTGGATTTACCTGGCCTCAATGTCTCAACTGGGAGAAAGAATTCAGGGAAGCAGCAGCCCCGGAACAAGGTGATTTCCCTACAGCTCCTACTGAGAGAAAAGCAGCTCAAGCCTTACTCTCCCCTCCCTTAGTTGCCCTCTGCTTCCAGATAACCTTTACTGAAAATCCAAGGAACCCTCTAGGGCTCATGGACTCAGGCATGCCTCTGGAACATCCCTTCAGATATTACTGTTATCAATAAAATTTGCAGAAGAACTCAAGGAGACTTAGATAAACAACTGAACTAACTCCTCAAATATAGGATCAGAATATGCTAAAGATTACCTAAAAAGCTATACAACAAAATTCAGAAGACAGCTTGTTTTAATTAGGATCCCATTCATGAACACTCAATTACTGAAGGAAAAAAAAAAAAAAAAGACTTCATTGTAAAGCTGTCATGTAGAAGCAAGGCTCTGACATCCACACAAATATCTCCTTCAAGTTAGCACTGCACAACAGATTTAGTACTCTTAGTCCTCATTGAATGATATAATTAATTTACTCTAGAAATGTTTTCAAGTTATAAAGTTTAGAAAGACTGTACTTATTTACATTGACGTTTTTGCATTCTGTGACATAACTAAACAAAAATTCACAAGTATGTAGACTTACAATAATCAAGAATTATAGGGCTGGCCTGTTACCTCAGTTGGTTAGAGTGTGTGTTGATAACCACAGTGCAGGGTTTGATCCCTGCTACTGCAAAAAAAAAAAAAAAAGAATATGATTCTCCCCCAGCTTGCCTTTCTCTATAGCCCTAAAATCCATTTACAGATATTCCAAATCTCCATACTATAGCCAGTTTATAGGGACACATACAGAAATGCACATTAATTTAAGTGAGGAGGCAAAAAAGAATGACTGAGTAGGTCCCATTCATAGGTCCATTTTATTAGCAGTTTTCATTTGTTATGCTTTTAATTGCAGCAATAAACTGAAAACTTTATCCTGGGTTTAATTCATTTTTTGTTTATTCTATGTACGGGAAAAGCTCAATTTCTATTTATTTCATTCCTAGTATGTACAATTAAAAAAATTAAGTGTATACACAGCACAATTTTGTTAACAGTAACAATAATCACATAAAAACTTGCCTGAAATTAATAATTCTTTATGGATGTTTAGTTGGTAAACAAAACATATTCACATAATACTTTGATGTTTGGTATACTTCAATAAAATGGTTCAAACATACAACTATCCATGATTTGGGGAAAAAACACTCGATGTCAATTACTGTATCTGAATTTTTTTTCAAATAAACTAAGAAGACAACTCACGTGTCTTAATTGAAGATACCAGAAATCCTCATTTAGTAACAAAGTTCATAAAATATGAGTGACATTATAGTAAGAGGCTCAGATAAAAATAAACTTTTAAAAGTTTAATAGCATGTAAGAAGAATACTAGATTTTTCTAGCTAGATCAATAAGAGTACTCACCCCTTGGAGCCCTTGGAACTGAATCGAAGGTCGAAAAGGTATTAAATTCTATTGAAAGAAACATAAGAAACAAACAGGTAAACCTTTGTTACAGTGATGCAAAACTAAATGTTTAAACTTTATATCTATGCATTTGGTCAGTGCCATAGTGTGGAAAATCTCTTTTTATTATATACTTACTTACGCATGTCATTATATCACACTGTTTACATTTCTGAACCACACAAACAAAAGGTATATTTTGGCAGTGAAGCTAATCATGTTTTTGAAACTGACATGATTTGACAAAAAAATGATTAGTATACTAAAAAAAAAAAAAGAGAGAGAGATTAGTACACTAATTATACTAATTCAATTTTACATTAAAAAAATTATCTTGCTTAGCCCCCTGACATTATTAATAGGAATGAGGAGAAGGAAGAGATAATTGGAGGAACTTTGCAAAACTCTTATTAAGATGCTGGAGATATAAAATTAAACTATTTTGAGAATGAACTGCAGCTTTCCATTTTCTCATTTTCTCACATTTTATCAGAGATTAGGTTTTTCTTTGAGGGTCAAACAAATTACCAACTTTCTCACAGGATTCTCACCTGGAGAACATAATTTCTAGAAGAATCTTTTTGTTTTATTATGAGCTTTATCTTCATCTTAATTTCAATATTTTATTGTATAGTTGTGCATGTGGAACAAAAGCTGTAATTGTAAATATCTGCTATAGTCTCCAGCAGGATTTCCTGTATGCAGTCACCAGTATGATTTTCTATGGGAATGCTTTTCCAAATTGCTAACAGAAATTCATGGAGAAATCAGATTTGGGTAATGTTTAATAGTAACACATCCACCTGTAAACTGTTCTTCACACTCTCACATCTAAATCCGATGTACAAAAACAAAAACAGTGGTTTCTGGTTTCATCTCTACCCCAAATAAAAATACAGAGGCACTCATGTGTCTCTCCCCTCAGCCAGGGCACATCGCCTTCTACTTCCAGTTATGTCCCAAGACTTTTCTGCAGATTTAAAAGTTTACTAATCAGAATTACAATAAATGAAAGAGAAATGAGGAAAGGATAAGAAGTTCTTTAAATGATAGACTATCTGAATGTACAATCAAGTGGTAACAATCATCCTATTATTATTTACAAAAATAGATAAACATCTTCTTGGAGTAAATATTATAATGGATATTGTTATTGTTCTACCACCATAAGAAGATCATTTAACTTCAGACTTGTCAACAGAATCAAAGTACTACTGGGTGACAAATTCATTTCTTGGTGTGGGAGAAGAGGATTTTTAGAAAAGGAAAGATAAAATGGTAGTACTTAAAATTTTAAAACCCAGTTTTTAGTAGTGATTCATTCTAATTCATGGCATTTTACAAAAACATAAAATATAGATTAACTTTATTTAAAGGGGAAAACCCCACCTAAATTTACTCTTCTTGAAGAATGAAAGCATGCCCGCAGGAGCCTAGGAAGCCCCTCTTTATGTGGAAGTAGGATGGCCCTACGATTTATGTAACACAGATTCAGGTTTCAGCTTTCACAGTATTTCCATCAGCCCTGCCTCCTGAATCTCCCTCCAAGTTGCAAACACTGAACATCTCCTTGGAGACATCTTACACTTCCCTCTTTGAGTCCTTGAAACCCGGAGTCTATCTTCAATTCACCAATGGAATTTGAAATTCTCTCTCCATCAAGTTCATCGATTCTTCTTGGTCAAATAAATGTAAACATTTACTCAGTTTTCAAATTGCTGACTTCTCCACTAGATATTAGCTTGTCTTCTACTTAGGGATACCAGTCTTCTCAGCTCTTTGATCATGCCTTTCATTTAAAAAACTAGTGCCCTTCCTTTCCTCATTCTAGATGCACTTTTTCCTGAAGGCTCACTGTACCTGTTTAGTGATGACTGAATCTCTTCTCCATTCCTCAACTCACATCTCTCCATAGCCTGCCCCTTACTACTGTCTATACAACATTTTGCATTAGAAACTCTCAATGACAGGCAAACTCTAAACTAACTCCCTCCACCGCCAGCCTCCCCAATCAAACTGGCACCTCTTTCGTACGTTTCTGGCAATGATTTCTATCTTCTTGGTTTTCCAGGCTCACAACCTTAGAATTATAGTCTCTTCTCTCTCCTCCCCACCAAAAAAACGCCCCCCATTAGTCAATTATGTGTCACTAGACTCAAAGCATTCCAAATTCAGAAGAGGCCTTAGAAATAATATAGTTGATATCCATCCCCCACAGATCGTGTCCCAATAATAATTAAGCTGACAGCAGAACTCAGGACTCAATCTTCCTATTTTGCTATGTTGTTTTTCTTCTACTACCCTTGTGTTCCACACATATCGGCTATGGGAGACACGAGGGTGTGGATGCCTAATCCCTCATGCCAGAGTTCACATTGTAGTTGGAGAAAATTCAAGTAGTAGGCAAAGTACTATCAGGAAGTGCAGTAAGAATTCTCAAAAAGGAGAGGAGTATATGTGTTAGAAGAGAGACTAGAAAAGTCCAAGATTATATGGAAAAGGTGGATTTTGAATAGCAGTAGAAAAGATAAACTCCAGGGAGAGGAAGTGCGCTGAGAAGAAAGGAGAGAAGATAGGAATGGTCACTGGGTAGGCACAGGTCAAGTCTGTGTGTGTACAGAATTCTTCTGCACTTGAAATACAACATAAAGAATGAGAACTGGACCTGGTGATTCCTCCCTAATCTTTCCCTGTCTTCCAAATTTGTCTTCATTTTTAGTTTCTACCTGCTTCATAATAAATAGGACAATAATTTAAATTTCAGACCTCAGTATGTCTGTTCAAAAGGTGAAATAACCCTGCTGTAATCTCCTCCTTACCCCCCTCACTGATGGTCTTTAAGGCACTTTGACATGAGTCTCTTCCAATTTTTTGAATAAGAAAGAAAATTGCTGAAAGAATTGTTTTGGGGGATGGCAGCTCTTCCAGTCATGTGTAAAATAGACGGACAGAGATGGATTGGGGCAGGGCAGGGCTAGGGAAATGGATTAGAGAACAGCTCCAGCAGATGCTTTAGAAATACTCTGGAAGTGGTGATAAAGGCCTAAGTTAGTAAGACTGCATCTGGAGCCAACAGGAGATGGTGGGCGGAGCAGATATTTCCAAGGAAGACTGATAAGATGTGCTGAAAGCACCAAAGAAAAATGATGCCAAGGTGGCTCTGGGGCTCCTAATCATCAGCTCCAGCCAGTCTGCCCCAGACTCCCTCAAATTAAGCTCCCAGTCTCTGCTTTGAAAGCCCCTGGCCCATTTCAGTCCCTTATCACTTAGCACCTAGATAAAGGCCTTCCTCCTTTCCTTCAAGTCCTTCCAAATGTTCAAATAGCTAGCAGAACCTCCCTCAAACACCACTCTCAGCAGGTCACACAGTCAACTGTGGGGTTCCTTCCCACTGTCTATCAAAGCAAAGCAAATTCTTCCATAGAAAACATACCCTCAATTATAGGACCAACCAATTTCACCTTCCATTTCCTCCTAACAGTGGCTCAGCCATGTTAACCTTTTTTTAGTTTTACAAACACTTTCCTCTCTATTTCTACCTCTTTCTTATTCCTTCAACCTGGCATAACTTCCCAAACACTATTTTGCCAGTCCATACTTACTGCTTACTTAACATTCAAACTCAAGATTAATTTCCTCAGCAAGGCCTTTCTTTGGATAAACCAGGAGTCAAAGACTCAGTGTCTTCAAGGAGCCAAGGCAGACACATATGGAATAGATGTGTAAAGCAACAATGAGTGGTAGGTACCTCGTGCATGAATGCCCAAAGGAAAGAATTCAAATTTAAAAATGTCAAATCTTTTTCTAACCAAACAAAACTCTGCTGCCACCATTTTGCTAACTCTCCATTATGCCCATTTTCAGTTAAATTGTTTTTCTAGATACTAGTGCCTACTGTTCCACTACATTGGGGTGTATTTTTTCATAGTTTGTCTCACTCCTAGTTGTTATGATACAGAGGACTCATGCATATTTAACGTACAAGTATTTATCTGCATTGTGCTCAGCTAAAAAAAGTACTGTAAATCATTTTGGATATGTTCACTTTATATATATAGTACTCCTCTATAAACATTATACACTTATACAGATTACTGTTCAGGGTTGTATACACAAAACAATATGTACTGTGCATTACATCAACTTAGAGACTTTCAAGAACAAATTTGACTTTATGCAACTTTTTATCTCATTCCATGAATTTAGAACCTAACCTCTTGATATACTTATAGTTCTACCTATATTGCTTGACACCTCAACTAATATGATCATTTTTATTTACATAGTTTTGTAATGTACAGAACATTTTTATATCCATTGTCTCAAGTGAGCTTCCTCAACCAGTCCTGGGTGGTAGAAGGCATCATGATCCCCCATTTTGGAGAGAGAATAAAAATAATGAGTCTCTGAGAGGTAGAGTGCATTTCTCAGAGTCATGGAACTAGTGATTAGCAGGGGTGGACTTTAAACCCAATCCTCTGAATCCCAAGTACAGTACGCTTTCCTTCTCTTGACTCTGAAATAGGTTATCCATAGTGATAAACATTTAAAAGATCATAAATGTTCATTCAGTTCTTTTGCATTTTGTTTCCAACGGAAATGAATTTCATAAACTCATTACAATTTCCAATTCATTTTCTGATTAAATAAAAACTAAAAAAAACAGCTTTTTTTTTGTTTTTGTTTTTTGCTATAAGGGCCATGTATAATAAAGGAACATATGTAAATACTTGTTATCATTTTCACTTAAAAAAATAATGAAACCTTCACCTATGGGATAGCTGTGTGTATGCATCTAAACAAGCAAACTAAGCTTACTGTTACTGAAAAACTCCTTTAAGATATCTGACAACCTAGAAAAATACTTAAGAGTATCTCAAATGCCTTACTGATTTTAATCTCAATTTTAGACAAGAAGATGTTACTAGGCTATAACTCTTGAGTGTTTTAAAAAATGCCAGAGGAGAAAACAGCTAAAACTCTATACCAGTTATTATGCATCTGAACACTGCTAATAGGATAGCTACCAGGAATAAGAAGTTCTAAAAGTCAATACCATTATGAGCAAATATCTCAGGCATGTTAGTTTTTTGTCCAAATGTTTTTTAGCCTAAGTTTAACTATACAAACAAAACCTAAACTCATTGTATC